TCCCTTAGGCAGATAGCCCTCGAGGCTTTGTCATAATCACGCACATGATAATCAATCCTTTCACTGTGAGCGAGCTGAATAGAAGAAGCGTCGTCCATTTTTTCAAATAATTTTAATAAAGTGCGCACACTATATTTGGCATAAGAAAAATGCCAAATTTCAAATCGCGCCAATATATAAATTTACGTATAACTTCAGAAATTGTAAATAAAAAATTTTAATTTTTTGCACTTATCCTAGAAATGTATCTACTTTAAAATGATGGCAAAAATGTTATAGGTTATAAAGCACAATTTTTTTCCCAAACACTTATAAAAATTACTAAAAAATTACAAATAAAAAAACAAATTAGGAAAAAAAAAAAAAAAAAAAAAGTTGCGAAATGTGTTTGGATTGAATCTAAATTTCGAATTGTGAAATAAGGAATCCAGTAAGTTTATTAAAAGAAGCGATATTAATAAATATATACCATATTCAATTAACACTGAGGAGCTAAACTTTTGTACTTTTTCAAAAACTACATGTGCGATTTTTACAAAACTTGGCTCTTTGTCATGATTTGAGGCGTAGAAGCAAAATGAAAAAAATAGGTCATTTCAGAGAAAGTTGATTTTGTGTCAAAATAACTATGTTAGAAAAATGTTGTATACAAATCTGATATATATCCTACTTCGAGCTTTCGAGACATGAAAAATAGAAGTTAAATTACGTCAATTGACTTAGTAGAGCAGGAGGTGTAGAACTGTCCTATTTTTTTTTGTACAAGGTGTACTTAAATTACTAAATGTCACAAGTTAAGTGTCCCTTAGTTGCAATCGAAAAATTTAATGAATGTATAGATGGGTAGGACAAAATTTAATTCTAAATCAGTTTTGCAACTAAATTTTCAGATATATCATGTAATTCATTGAATATCATACGGATAAAAAAAAAAAACTATTAATTTACAAAAGACTTTAGTCAATTTTTTACACCATCAATATATGCAGCTTAAAGCATAACGCTCCTAAAGCATACTTGAATCATTAAACGTAAAGTAATTGTTGGTTGGTTGTAATACTACAATAAAAATATCAAATCCTTTTTTATCTTTTTTAAAAAATAGAAAACATCACGACATATTTGATTTATCGGGCCTAACCCTTTACATTAAGTTATTAAATTTCGAGTTAACAATGTTTTCCTCCATTTTTTACTGTATGTTTCAGTTTTCTCCCTCCTTTCTGCATATTTTCATCGTATGACTGGAATCACGCTGGACACGATTCGAGAGATCGCAAGTTCGAATCTCGGCGACGGCATTGCGGATTTTTTTCAGTTTCCTGACTTTGCAAAATTCTAAAATACACTGCATGTGGCTCCCGAACTAAAAGGCGGTAGACGATGATTCATCACCGGCGACTAGGTACCCTATCTCCAATCGCTCTTTAAAAGCAGGAGTATAACTTTATTCAAAAAATGAACGGCATCGCAGATAGAATTAAACAATCTAAATCCAGTACTGAAAACTCGCAATAACCTTTGAAGTAAGGATTACTTTAAATTTCGCAGAAGAGGTTTATTAACTTAAAGATAAATTTATTAAAGAGGTTCCCAGAACTTACAACAGATGGCGACACAATTTCCTAGGAGCTAACCCTAACTTTCATTTTCAGCACTATCTCTCAAGAACATCGATAGATGGCGACTCCGCTGCAGAGCTATCTGATGACAGAAGACAACGCTTTCAACTATCAGACAACCCAAGGAAATTCTCAAATACCTTTAACAGCTAATTTCTCGTCTAGTTAGCAAGCAACTAGGACTATTACAATTAGCGCAAACTTTGAGTCCCTGAGAAGAATGAAGGTTCAAAATATAGACTGCAGGCTTTCACAGACAGCGTAACTCCTTCTCTTCGCAGCGTAGCAGCAAAAAGCGTAAATCGGAGCACCGTAAACTGGAAACATTTCATTGAAATCTAAACCTAAATGCCTGTTAAGTATCTGTTTCGCAAAGTGTTTATCTTGATCGCACTTTTTTTTATATTAACTGCATTAATTTAATTTAAATCACATTTTTATACCTTCGGTTTTAAAACTTTTATAACGCAAGCATATTTCTGAACAAATGAACAAATTATATAATAGAGTTTGCGTGATATAAACCTTCGTGATCTATAGACTATCACGGAACCACAGAATAGAAGCAATTATTTTTGAAGGACAGTTGGAGGAAAACTGCTAAATAAATAAGGACAAAAATCTGAAGGGAAACCATCAATGATGATTGCTTCTGTCACGTAACATTACACTTGTGTGTGAGAAAGAAGGGGTGCGTTTGAATAATAGCTGAGTTTTGATACTTTCACACTATTGTTATTATTCTGCCATGCAGCGGGGAATTCCTATCCCTGCTCCTTCCAGATTCCTGAGTGAATCCGGAATTGGGCCTAACGTGTGAGGAAGTCCGTAAATAGTATTCTCCAGATGAGGTGGGAAAAACTCTGAAACTCATCGCTTCCTGCGAGAAAATTCCAAGACTGTATTTCTTTTTCAATAATTTTATCCAATTGTTTTAACAAGGATATGGGGGGTTATTATTACCAAACAATGTTACTATAAAATAGTTAAAAATGCCGATACGTCAACTTGCTTATAACCGAATGTTGAAAGCTGCAATATGCGGTATTATCACTATTCTAATACTACGTTTCCTCCATATAAATGTCTCTCCAGGAGGGATACTGCTGCCCAGACAGTATAGTGGTTAGTAACTGTACTTACTGTACTACCAAAAGTCTCGGGTTCGAATCTCGGTGAAGGCTTGGTTGTAACTGCCTGTCTCTTCATAGGTGGCGGCGGTAGCTATGTCTTAGGTACCTCCACAATAAAATGGCTACCACTTCTAGCATTAGAAGTGGCCAGTGTTCAATACGCAAGTGACAGCCATTGGATTTAGAAAAAGAAAAAAAAATTCTGAACGTTTTCAGATTTTATATTACGCCCAAAAGGGCTTTTCTTAACGTCTTGTGTGTTACCTTTATTTATTAAATATCATGTTCTTCGCCCTTAAATTGCAAAATTCATTTCAACAGCACTATCACAAAATAATTTAAAAAGAGCATATCTTCAAAATTTCCGATACACAATGTCGCCCGCTGGAGATAAAAATGTATTTTTTTCTCCCGTACAGTGTTGCCATTGCTCGCTTTGAAATCTTTGGGATTCTCAATCAAAAACACGTACATACTTTATTCATATTCGGGCATCCAGATGCCCATATTCGGGTCGAGATGTAAGTGATTCTAAACTGGATGGCTCTAGGTATCGTTGTTTTATCCCAATGCGACAAACATACCTACATTTATGCAGATTCTTCATTATTTAATTTCTTGAAATATAATACAGGGCGATAATATTTGGTGGCAACAATTTAAAAACTGATTCGCCGTTTAACGTGAACCAACGCAAAATGCCAAAACGAAATAAATAGCACTTCTGGAAAAATTGCACCCTTTGAGCTAAAAGGAATAAAAAAATGCATTCTGCACCAAACACAGGATGAATTGTTTAATCAATGACGGAAGTTACAAGTCGGTCAAACTGCAACTCAGGCAGTCAAGACTTGGTAAAACCAAATAAAATATTCTCAAACAACACACAAAACTGCACGAAAGGGACAAAGCTAATGCACATAGTTGGCAAATACACCGTAAATGAAAAGGGCTATTTTCGTTTGATTTTATGTAATTTTGACAAAGCCTCGAGGGCCTAAGAGGAGGGATGCCTTGGTGGAGGACTTTACTACCCAACTTAACCCCCTGATATTAGGCACGCGCGGGCAACCCAGCACAAGTCACCTTGGAGATGGTCATGCACTCCACCTGAAGTCCCGGTGCCCACATCACCATGAACGACAGCTTCGAGAAGATCTCCACCTGCTAAAGCAGGCCCACCGCTACACTGGTCAACTAAGACCACCGTTCCAGCGATCAGAGACCATGATGGGGTGGGCTGAATGCCTGGTGCTATGACTGGTCGTTTAAAAAGCTACCCGCCAGTACTGCACGGGGTACCCCTCCCTCCAGGCCTTACACGGAACACCAAGGATAGCGGTGACTGGGCGCTCAATGGCCCAGTCGCTATTTGTCGACCCTACTACCCTAGTTACGGGGATTTACGCCACCCGACCCGTGAAGAGTGGAGAGTGGAGACTGGCCCCGCTCCACGGATCATCGGGAACCGCCAGGCTCAAAAATATTACATCCCCGTGGCCGAGACCGCCTAGGTACAAATCCTAACCAGTACTTCGCAGAGTACTCTACGTCGATCCCCGGGGGGGGGTTACACATGGGGAAAACCACGAAAACACCCGTGCAGCCAGCCCGTTCGCAGGATTCGAATCTCGAACCGAACTACCAGTGTTCATCGACTTTCCGCTCGGCACCTGGAAAGGAATAAAATTATGTGCATAAAAGGGATTAAAATACTAGGATCTTATGTGCGATAATTGTACTAATACATGGAGGGCTCAAAATATGCATGAAATTTATAGATGAGGAAAAGAAAATAGGAAAATCGTATGTGATAAAAGAAATAAGTAAGGACTATGCGTTTTTAACATTAATTTTTCCAACAGATGTTCCTTCCCTTCACACCTGATTAACCAATCCTATAGGCTGTTTCTTTAAACTAGGAACTTGAATGAGCTTGCCGAGTGTGCTAACCCTTACACCACTGATGCAGGCAGAAAGGAGGGAGAAAATACCTTATACCTTTTAAATTCATCCTAAATAATCCAGGAATTTACGAAATTAAAACATTTACCGTAGCATTAATGGGGAAACTACAGAAAGCGTTAGAAAGACGTATTAATTACTCACTCATAAATATTTTTCTTGACCGTTAACGTAGAATGCGATACGCCCACGCGATATGTTCTCTTTCAAATACGCTAAGCTTTGTCCTCAGATTTTTATAGTTAACTATTACTGCGAAGAGAATAAGGAAAATGGCCTTACGACATGCAACTAGTCTCACGCAATATCGTTTGCATATAAGCTCAATATAAGCTGGCAGCATTCACTTCTTCGCCATTGATGAAAATTTAAATAAATTTGCGAGACGGTAATCACAATCTGGAAACATGAAATATATTGTAAGTATACCAGTTTCTATGTGGTACAGTGTTGAAATGTTTGATACTAATCATGTAACACTGCTGTTTATGTTATAGTACAGAAGGTTTTCGGTGTGAGAAAAACTGAAGGGAAAGTAAAATTTTATTATAATAAATGAGTTTTCTTGACATCCAAAATGCCTCAAAATGGATTCGGTAAAACTTCGGATTTATTTTATCCGATGATTTAATCTTTTGCTTTAAAAAATCTCTTATTCTTACGTAAATTCTTTTGTATACAAGAGTTAATTAAGTATTTTCTTCTGTATCATGGACACTTCCTCATTACTTAAAAATTCCTTATTTCTGCTGGAAATCTTCATATTTTACTTTTAACTGGTGTTTTCGCCGTTTATCGAAAAATAGGCATGAGACAAAATTTTTGTATTATAAAGTTCAGATGATGTTTTCATTCCAATTATCTGCATTAATAAAATCTACAAAAAAAAAATGGCATTGTCTGTCAGTTCGAGCCCACCGTTCTAGAGGCACTTTGTCCAAAATTCGGTTCCAATTCCGAATATATTTAATGATAAAGTTTAACTTTCTAAAAAACGGTTTTTTTAATGATTGTAATTTTAACTTGTATCAAAATTTAAAATGATCATCCTCGATAATTTTTCGTCTTGAGAAAATGCGAAGGACAAAACTCGTTTCTCTTTAGATTCGCTCTTTAGAGTCTTACCTTAAAAACTTAAAATTTCTTAAGAGACACAAGGAAAGGAATATATATAAAATTCAGTGGACACATTTCGCATTTATTAGTCCAAAGGGACAATTTGCCCTGAAGGACTATTAATTTCGTTTTGGCATTTTGCGTTGAAAACATTAAAAGGCTGTATCACTTTTCAGATCTTCGCCACCATATATTATCGTTCTACCTTATAGTTAAAGAAGATAAATATAATGAAGAATGTGCATAAATGTGTATATGTTTCTCGCATTGTGGTAAAACAACGGTACCTAGAGCCATCAAAATTTGAATAACGTAATCTTCTATAGAATATGAGCACGTGGAAGTCCTAATTTGAATTTGAAATATGTTTCATTATCGATTTCAAATTTTGTAAAACGTTTGAAAACTAAACGATTTCAAAGCGAGAACTGAATTTAATGATTTGAATACGTAGACCATGTTATTTAATAAATAAAGATAACATATAAAACGTTAAAAAAACGCCCCTTTGGTCGAAATTTCAATTCTGAAGCCTGTTTTTCTTTTTTAAATTTTATTTTTCTTTGTTAAAATCAAACAATATTTCTTTACTATAATATCCTCTGCAGAAAATTTTATTTGCGGTCTAATAGCACAACATTCCTGTTGTTGTTTGTTGCTGTTAATTATTTGCTGTTAAGTTCATTTATCTGACCTATCATTAGCCCAAGCCTACGAAATTCCTCGTGTCGTGGCAAGGAGCACAAGTTACGCTTATCGTTGGCAACAGCCTTGAGCTCCTTGCACGTGACCGTGTAATTTAGCTCAGTTCCTCACCGAATTTTGACGGAGAGCACCCCATGGAGGGACAGGTAAGGGGTCTCCCACTCCTCTTCCCCTGCTACCAACTTCTCGATAGGACGGCTAGCCGCATATTTAGAGTGCCACCATGCCGCATGGACACTATACATTTATAAACATTCATGCCTTCTCCGGGATTCAAACCCTGTCACTTCGGCATAGCAGTTTGTGACGCTAACCACTATATCACTTGGGCGGCAGAACATTCCTTATATCCGTGATCTTTTAACTGCTTCGTTTTTCGCCTTTTCGTCGAAGAAATTAAGTTGACCTTACGTCCGTGACCTTGGAGTGTGATTGTGTGCCGTAGCGTCTGTTGCAGTAAAGCTTAACACACAAAAATAATTCCTAAAAAAAATCTGCTTTTTATGGAAACATTTCGATTCTTGCGCATGTTATTCAAATATTATTTCTTAATATATAAACAAGTAATATTAGTATTAAAATTAAATAAATGTTCGAATAAGTTCAAATAAGCAATATTGAAAATAATGATTACATTTTTAGATTTGAATTAGTTCCGTAAAATAATGAAATAAGAAATGAATTTAAATTATCAGGTCCTATTATATCTTACTGCCATATTTAAACATAAAATTTTATGCCGCGTACTACTGCGTAAAGCGCTTATTAATTCTTAACCCTTTGCGGCACAGTGTGTCCGGTCTGGACAGACCTAAAAGTTTCCTTCTGTACGCACAGAAGCATTGAATGAAGAGGGATTTATAGGTTACTCTGAACCTTCTCTATTTATAGTAGATGGCAGCTAAACACAAACCAGTCCATATATTTTAGCCATGTTTAGTTTTTTAAGCCTGTCATATTTGAAAGAAATCTGCAAGATTTATTTTAGGGTATAAAAGGAATTGTTTGAAAAGAAATTTCTATGTTATTTTTTGGCTGTATGCTAATCTATATTATTATTATTATATATTAGTTTTAAATTTTTTACGTTGAAATCTTGCCTAGAATCAAACGGGGAACCCTAGGTGGGCCCAGATCGGGCTCACCGATAATCTAGGACAAGTGAGAGTTTGTATTCTTTGTTTCTCCGCATCTCATCGGTCAGTTCATTGACAACAATGCTCGTTTCAGCACTCTTTCCGAAGCTCTATTCAATCTCTGTGCCCTCTTTCGGCACACCCACAGAAATAAACGATAAGTGTCTTCACAAAGTTTTACTTGTGTACTCCACTAGGCCTAATTAGACTGCCTACCTTTTTTTTTTTTTTTTTTTAACCAAAACTCCGACTTTAACAGTAGCGTGCCGGAAAGGGTTAACGCGCGTTGTTAGTATTCGTAGAATAAAATAATAAATAATATTCTTAACAAGTCTAACTCTCAAGGGAATCTAATCAAGTAAGGTTTCACTGCATTCTGTCATAATTTATACACATTTAAAGTTTGAAATAAAGTATTTCGTTTTAGCGTATCAGATAGTATGGGCCACTCTTCACTCCGATTTCACATTTTATACGGAAAAGGAAACTGAAGAGTATCGTTTGGTTTAGTTTGTGTGATTACGGCAAAGCCTGTACCTACCTAAGGGGAGGGATGCCTTCGTGGAGGATTTTTTAAAGGAAACTAGCTCGTACACATGTTACATATGAGGAAAATAACGAAAACGCTCGTGCAGCCAGCCAGTTCGCAGGATTCGAACCTCGGACCGAACAACCAGTGTTCAGCTACTTTACCGCTTAGCCGCTGGTGGGCCTCTGAAATGTATCGTATAACGATACTGTGGGAGCGAAAAGGTTCGATTGTAGTAGAAACCTGCACCACAATTTAAGGGTATAATATCATCAAGAGGATCCAGAAAATCGATTCAACCAGATTCATTATTTAACATGATCGATGTAATGCTTAGCATTAATTGGCTGCCGTATAGCAGATGGGTTGAACCTTTCTAAGTCCATAATGTCTATGCATTTACAAACATGGGACTTCAGTGGGACAAACATGGGACTTGCAGCATGGGACCACTAAAATCCCATGCTGCGTTATGTCTATGCATGATGCAGCATGGCAACACTGCATTGAAATTACACGGCGAATGAAAGTTTTCTCAAAGGACTTAGTGGTAGGGAGAGACAGTTGCGAAACATACCTATCCGTCATCTGCGGGATACTCTTTCAAAACTGGGACGAAAGTGCACAAAGTCGTATTGTCGCCTATTACCCAAGACCATGTCTGCGAAGCCGCAATCCTGGGTTACTCGCCCCGATAAAATTCGCAGATGTTCTGATTTTTTCCATAGTCAAATGACATAAGCCACAACAACAAGGATGCAAACTTCTATTTTTATAATTTTTTATTATACTTAATTATTGTATTAATTGAAAAGAATCTGATGCGGACACCACATAACTTCCTTGTATGGAATATTAAATTATACGAAAATTTTGCTGCATTTCTTTTAAACTTAGTTCCTGGAATTTCAATTACAGAATATTTCTCGTTTAATTAATTCAGTTCTCACTTCGCGGCAAAACAAAACTACAAAAGTACTCAAAACACCTTCATTAAAAATTGTAAAATACAGAAAACTACACAACACCAGATACAGTTAAAGCATTTAAAAAAAATTATCACAATTAAAATTACAGTTTCTACGCAGAAAACAAGCAATTAGGCCGTCAGGTAAAGAAGGCAGATTTTTTGGTGCACAAAATGGAAAGTTTACTTTCGGTCCCACCTGGGCAAAAAGACATTGAAGGTGCAGAAACTGATTTATTTATTATTCTGCCAAGTTCCAAACGTAAACAATATGGCTGCTATCTTAAAAAATTATGTATACCCACACTTTTAAATTGTTGATAATTCTACAGCTATTGCATGCAGATCAACTAAAGGCACAAAACCCTGAACTGGAAGATAAAAACAACATAATTCAATCATTTTTAAAGCAAAAAAATGCACTCTTTACCAGCATTTTAGAACACGAAGCTGAACTTACCGGGCCGAGTAACGGAGTGGATATATATATATATATATATTTATATAGTATAGTTTGGTGCGGCCGATTGCAACCAAAAAAGGAGGTGCACGATTACATGTTACAGCAGTCCTACGTACAAAATGCTTCAACGTTCTGAGGCTATTCCTTTTTGAGTTATCCGAAATACATATGTTCGTACATACGGACGAACGTACGTCATGGGAAAAAAAATCTCTTTTGAACCCATTTTAAATCAATTTTATAATGCGTTTGGAGAAAAAGTGTCTTTTATTTTGTCCTTACATACTGATGTCACGCAAAAATATTGTTAAATTGCATTCGAAAGCGGTCAAAATTGATATTTTCGTTTGAAATATGATACCCAGAATTTTTCGTGATTAGAATACTTTCTTTACGACTAGTAGCTTGTTAAAATTGACAGTTAAAGTTGATTTACTGGTAATTTAGTGATATTTTTTATTTCTAGAAAAATGATTGAAAATGCAGTAGCAAGTAATTCAGAAAATATAGAAGTTTTATTCGAAACATGGCTGGCATTACAAAAATGTAGGAAGATAAAGTGTATTCTGAACATAAGACATAAAAGGCTGTAGCGGAAATATGCAAAGTTATTCAAAGTAATTGGTGATATGTTAGTAAATTACACATTTTTTAAACCCTCGAAAAATGCATGATTTTGTTTCAAATTTCTTTTCTTGTAACAAAGATTTAAATTTTTCGAAAAGTATGCCATTTGCAGAGACAGTAATCTCTCTGATATTTCAAGTATTGTTCTCAATATCATTAGTGAATCAAGTGCTATTCAATTGTTCTTCGGAGTGTCCTTTCTCTTATAAATGCGTTAGTTTCAGATAAACTGTTTTGATTTTTTAGCATTTGTTTAGCTGAATGTACTTTTGTACTATGTTTTTTCTTGCTGACATTAATCTAACTTATTTTTGACGCTTTTATTTAAATTTTTAATGGATTTTTTACTGTAGCTATTCCTCATGGGAAGATTTTCTTTTACTTTAGATGCGGATGACTTAGGTTAAGAGAGTTTTTGAATGTAACATCAGATGTTTTCTGTACATTGTGTACCATCCATTTTCGTCTTACATACATTTCCAGAATTTTCTTCGCAGTTTTAATTTTATTTGGTTGCATTAAAACTCTCTAATTTTCGACATTTTAATATTTTTGATCAAACAAATAGTAGTTCAGTTTTATTTTATATGATGTATCAAAAAATCATTCTCAGAGAATTCTCAGGGCATTTTAAAATCGTGCTTTAATTTCTATGTTTGTCGACCATACTTTTGAGTGCGGTGTGAATCAGTACGTAATCTAGCGTTTCTACAAGAACGAGTTTTAGTAAGGCATTTCACCAATTGTAACTCTAAGATTGAATCAGAGAATTATGTAAGCTCCTTTATCAGTAAAATTTATATCAGCTCTGAAATCTGAGACTACTTTTTTTTAACACACTTGCTAGTCGTCCAGAAACGCTGTAACAGTGCTAGCAAATTATTTCAAAAAGTTTTAAAGTATAGTGTTAATGGAATCTTTATCAGATTTTGTTTATATTTTTATGTAGCAATCAGTCGGTTTTGTTCACGATTTGTTAAATATTTTATCCTTTTTCGTGTTTTGTATCAGAAAACTACGCTGATGGACATTAAAATTGCTATAACACAAAGAAAAGCAAATCATAAAATCTTATTTATTATATCCCATAATGGGAGGAAGACGTGATGAAATTTGAAAGGTGGTTTGAGGTACACAACCTGCAGAATTCAGTACAGTAAGACCCCGCTTAACGCTGTTTCGTTTAGCGTCGTTTCGGTTTAGCGCTCTTTTATTTCAACCCGGGGATTCCACGAAATGCTATCCCCGTATGCCGTTAATATTATGCAGCGATAGGTTTCAAATACATATCCGAAAGAGTGTACTTGTATTTCTTGTTTGGTGCGGTATTGTACAGACATATTTTGAAGGGGTAAATGTGGAAGATGTCGAAGAAATAATTCAAGAAGCAGCGGCTAGTCTTTCTAATGATGAGCTCAAGGAATTAACTGAACAAGAAGAAAACAAAAATGTTGACAGCAGTGATTCAGAAGAAGAGCAAAAAGAACTTTCGATGGCGTTTGTAAAAAGGAGTTTGTCTACCATAACTGAAATAATGGACCAATTCATTGAAAATGATCCGAATTTTGACAGGAGCTCAAAAGTAAGGCGTGGTGTTAGAGAGATGCTCTATCCGTTTATGAAGAACTTTTAAGAGAACAACGCAAAAGAAAAAGGCAAACAACATTAGATGCTTTTGTCACAAAAAGGCAGAACACTGAAAACGCGGAAGGCTAACTAAATATGACTGACTGAGAATTTTATTTGTTTTTTTTTAAGAATATTCGTTTTGTTATTTATATTTTGTTTTTATTTTTGCAAGAAATAATAATGTGGTATTAATTTGGGCTTTAAGAAATAAATGTTTGGTTTTATTTTTATTAAAAAAAACATACTTTTTAAATTTAATACCTAACCAATTTCCTAGCCATCTTCCCCTAACCCCAATATTTACATGTAAAGATAGCCTCGTTTAGCGCTGTTTCGCATTACGCTCTACTTTGATGGAACGTATCCCCCGCGTTAAGCGGGGTCTTACTGTACATGGAACTGCCATCTCCGGCAGCAACAATGGCTGTCTGTCTAATTTAACTTATATGTCGTCAGGCAAACTCGAAGAGGTTCGCAAAATCGGGTACCCGCGTGAAGTCGCTATCCAGGCGTAATGCTTCCGACTTTCGAATCTCTGGTAGTTTCGAGCAGTTTATAATACATGTCGATGCAAATGAAAGTTCAGAGCAGTAATAAAAACTGGGAGAGCACGTAAATGAGTCCAACAGAAACACACTTGCGGTGCAGGCCATGACGAAGGTAAGTGCGCAGATAAGCAGATAAGCAAATGACGTGGAGAGAAGAATAACAAAAAAGTGCCTAAAGCTCACTGAATTTGAGAGTCCTCGCGTGTGAAGTTTATATAATATGAGTAAATAATATAAAATAGCAATGGAAATAAAGCATAATGAAACGTATAATATATACAATAAATACAGGTCAAATATATATAACGTAAACAGCAACACCAGAAAACAACCAGTATGAGATAGTGTGCAGGAAAATTAAGGTGGGACAATTAGGTGAATGAGTAATTTAGAAGACAGTTACTGATCGAGGTATCTGAGAACCGCAAGCCGTCGTTTTCTATTTCTTTCAGTGCTGTAATCGTAATTAAGCACTGGAATAGTGCTGTTGTTAACATTTGGAATATTTTTATAGAAATTTTCAGCAAGGTCAGCAAAATGAACATATAACGTTGATGTGTGTTTGGAGTGCTTGTATAACTGGGCCAGGAGATGCATTTTTTAAGAGGACTGCCGTGTCATCGGCGTACATTGCCAAGGTGGTGTGTGGTGATTGTGGGATATCGTTCGTGTAGATATTATAGTATGGGTCTAAGGGCCCTAAATGGGCCTAAGGAGGCTCCCTAGCGGGACGCCAACCTTGATAGCCCGTGGGGTAGAGTGTGACTTGCTTACACGAACGATAAAGTGTTTATCCTTAAGATAGGAGTAGGTGATGGCTGTGATGTACTCTGGGAAACCCAGAGTGATGATTTTGTACATGAGGCCCTCAAGCCAAACCCGATCAAAGGCGTCTTACAGACCCATCAGCCTTCTAGCTGATGGGTCAGTAAGAATAAGTCTATAGTGTAAGAATAAGCTGTAAGTCTGTAAGAGCTACATCGAGAAAGATGGCACCAGTAGTTTGACGGTCTTGGAGTTCTTGTGAAATCATCTCAGTGACTCTGTAGAGCTGGTGAACAGTAGAGTGCTTCTTACGAAGCCCATGCTGCTGTGGAATGATGATGTTGTTTAGTTCGGTATAAGCAAGGTTTCTCTGTAGGATGATGTATTCAGCTACTTTGCTTAGCGAGGCTAGAAGGCTGATGGGTCTGTGAGAAGCTGGTTCTGATGGTGGCTTTCCAGGCTTTGGTACTGGGGTAATGATGGCTGTCTTCCGTGGCGTAGGATAGTGGCCCAGATGAAGCATGGCGTTGATAATAGCAACAAGTTTTAATAGCATGAGAGTCTCCATGCTTTTGATAATTTTGTTTGAAATTTTGTCCAGCCCAGCACTCTTGGAGTTTCTTGATATAGTTTCATGGAGCATGGAGTTTCTCGATATAGCCGTAGACCTCACGGTTTGACAGGATCATGGTTTGACAGGAGTTTGACCTATCATGGTTTGACAGGAGTAATGTTGTTCGTGCGTGTCTTTGAGAGGAACTCTTTTAGTGTACTGTTAACCAAGTGTTCCGTTGGAGGGTGGGAGATGTTGTTTGTGCATAATTGAGAAGCATAGTATCTTACTTGTCTGACAGTAGCATCAGCACAAGCCCACGAAATTTATCGTGGAAAGGAGGGCAAGATTGCGCCTGTCGTTGGCAACAGCCTTGAGCACCATACATGTGACAATCCGACATTGCTCAGTTAAGCTTGCCCAACCCGGAGATCGAACCCCTGACCTGTGGTGCTGCTGCGCCACCGGGTCACACAATGGCTGAAATCTAGCTGGGTATTGGGTCTAAATGAGCTTGGATAACAGATGCTGGCAATTCATTCCATGTAGTTTCACCTCTGCTAGAATTCCATCAGTCTTAGTGTCTAACGAGTCTCAATGGCTGAGAGATCTGTAGAAACAGCTGGAAAAAAGATGGTGTACAGCTCAGACACATCGTCAGTCAGTAATTTCTGACGAAGGTCTGAGCAAAGTTATAAAAAATAAACAGCATCAAGCACAAGTCGTGCCTTTTATGTTAAAAGATCGGTTTAATGTAAAGGTTGTTTAAATCTTCCTAAGTCTTTCTCATACTATTTTCAGACGTAGCGATAAATCGCTAGTTGTCTAGTAGGGCTGTAGTACTCAAATTCAAGTATCAGTTCAAGTACAACCTTACAGATTATTACAAAAGATCTTCGTCCTCCATACCTATGAGGATGAGGATGACATGAAAACAGAATGACGATACCTTTTTTAACTTAAAATAGAGATTTATCCATGCAGTGTAAATTACTACCACAACAATAGCAAGAGGTCTCAAATAATGTTTGCAGCTATATAAAGTCATAGCTACTTTGGTTTCTTTGCATTATTTTCTTTCCATTTAAACTAAAGATGGGTAAAACTTTTCAACACACCTAATAGAATACCTGTTATTTTTTGATAGATTTCTTAATGAACAGAAGTTTACTGTTAAACACTCTGTCTCTTGATTACTGTAGAGATACGATTTAAAATTTTAAAGTTTGATGTGGTTTAAAAAATAATTCACGTTGATTATTTTTAATAAATTTCCTTTTTTAATCTTTCTAGATCATACTAGTGGTACTCGCAACAAGTGCTTTCTTGGTACACAGCGCACCACAGATGATGCCTGGAATGGGTGGAATGCCTGGAATGGGCGGATTCCCTGGAATGGGTGGAATGCCTGGAATGGGTGGAATGCCTGGAATGGGTGGAATGCCTGGAATGGGTGGATTCCCAGGAATGGGTGGAATGCCTGGAATGGGCGGAATGCCTGGAATGGGTTGAGGAATGTTTTGAAAGAATGAGAGCAAACTTCAAATTTTATCTCTGTTTTGACTGCCAGCTCAGAAGTTTGAATTGAAAACCGAAGAAGAAAATATCTCGAGCTAAAATGTTTGTAAAGTAAAATTCTGCACTATTTATAAAATAAATCTTGACAATCATAAAATGAAATGAAGTGAACTGTACATAGTAAAAATAATTCTGTATATGTTTGCTTCTGTCAATTTATTGCAGTATTGTTTAATTATATTTCAAACATTATTCATTTTATATATTTACACGTATATAAAGATGCAGTTACTTTCAGAAAATTACATACAGAGCTTTCCGCGGAATATTTTTGGATAGCAAGAATAAATAATAGTAAACTTACTATAAGATAAATGATTTCTCTTTCATATTTGCTATTAACGAACAAAACGCCTTAGTTGAGTTATGTACGAATAGCATGATTTTAATTGATTTTTAAACGAGGGTCTACAGAAAGAGTAATTGTAAATATGTCATTATTCTTCTGTTGGGAAACAGAATTAGTCTGATTAAAAGAGAGATATTTAACAGTTATTACAAATTAGGATTATAATTATGTATCATTTGTATGCAGGATATTCTAAAAATGTGTATGTTAAATGTTAAAAGTTAGCTTCCTCTCAATCGATTCACTTTTATCACATCCAAGTAACTTTTCCCAAGACTACTTTTGATGGTTGTAAAAGAATTAATTACCTATGAAAGAGATGTTTTAGAGTAGTAATAGTCAATTCTAATTCATTTTTTTCCCCGAACCGTGGGCACTATTTTGTATTTTTGTCCTAAGTCCGGAAGTGGTGGCTCTTTTATTATAGAGGCACCTAGAAGTCGGTCACCATTATCTTCAATGAAGGGACGGATAGTTACAACCATGCCTTCTCCAGGATTAGAACCCAGGCCTTTCGGTAACTTAGTCGGCTCCCCTAACCACTATACTGTCTGGGCAGAAATGCTGATTCATTTTAATAAACTTTTTATGAATATTAGAGGTGGTCGTCTTAAGAATGCGGTCACCCGAAAATATTTCCTAAATTCAGATTTAAGTTTTATAAAGCAAAGTCCAAGATTTTATATAAGCAGTCTCAATAGCGTGACCAGGAGAGATCTGTATGTATAAAGTTCATCTTTTTGTTCGGTTCGCGCAAACTTCACCGTCAACGATATATCTATTACATCTTAAAAAGCTGAAGTTGTTATTTACTCTAACTGCCATACCGAAGGGCTCGGAGTTCGAATCCCGAAGAAGACATGGATGTAATCTGCCCGTCCCTCCATTGCAGGAAACGGTGACCCACTTATTAAGTTTCTCCATAATAAAAAAGCCACAGCTTTCAGCCTTAGTATTAGCCAACGACAATAAACGACTACAGTCTGCCAATGAAAAAAAAAAAAATTAAAAAATAAACAATTAAGAACCAAAATTTTCGCACATTTTTATGTGAAATTTATGAAGGTGAGTGTAAATAAACTTACTATTACAGCCATTTTTTATGTCTATTAAAGCATTAAATCCAGAGCATTCGAGAACACTTTAAACAGCAGGCTACGAAACAGAAATTGTTGTTTAGACTATTTAGAGTTTCCTCTGGGTAAAAAGCATTTGCACTTGAATTTGTAATTTCTTTATTCTTCGTGAAATTTATTGAGCTTATTATTAGCCCAAAGGAGCGTTGGCTCAGAAGGGCTGCTCTTCTCAAAACGGGATTGCGTTGAATCACTGTAAAAGGCTGTATTTCTTTTCAAATTTTTGCCACAAAATACTACTATCCTGCTTTATATGAAAGAAATTAAATAAAGGAGAAGAATGCGTGTGAATGTAGGTATATTTCTCGCACTGTGAACAAACAACGGTACCTACAGCCATCAAATTTTAATAACGTATTACTATATCCGAACATGAGCACCTGGAATTTTCGATTAAGAAACTCAAAGATTTCATTTCAAGCAATGGCAGCACTTTAAATAAGAAAAATTATCTCCAGCGCGTGAAACTGTCTTTCTGAAATTCTAAAGATATGCTGTTTTTAAATATTTCGTGATATTGCTGTTGAATTCAATTTTATGTGGTTTAAGTGTGAAGAATTATGATATTTAATAAATAAAGGTAACACACAAAACGTTAAAAAACATCCTTTCGGGGTAATATAAAATCTGAAAGCTTTCAAATTTTCTCTTATTAATTTCTAGCTTTGTTTCTTTTATATTAAATTTGAAATAATATTAAAATTTATTGAGCTTTTTTTGCACACAGACCAAGAAAAGGATGTTAAAACTTTTGCTTTTAGGTAATTAATTTTCCAGAGATGACAACTGTATATAGAAAGCGGTCAAAAGGTATGAAAAATGCCATGACAACATTCCGCCCTTTAAATCCAAATTAAAGACCCTCAAAGAATCCACTACACAGAAACTGAGAAAGCCGAACTTTTAGCACAGCATCTGGAATCTCATTTGGAATCCCGTTATAAAACAACTAATTACTGACTTTCACAACAATCGTACGCCAAGCCCACACGCAAAAAACACTATCTCAGTCATGCCGCCGCAGGTCTGCGTCTACATTAAAAAGCTGAAGAACAACAAGAGTCCAGGATATGACACCATAAGTAGCAGGATGATTAAGAGATTTCCAGTAAAAAATCTTACTATTCTTCACGTAGGTTGTCAACCTAACACTCAGATGGCAGCCTTTCTCGGAAGTTGGAATTTGGCTCAAATGACCCCTATTCTGAAACCTAAAAGCACCAGACTCATACCGCCCAATATATCTGCTATCCTCACTCAGCAAAATTATGGAGGCTGTATTACTCACCAGGATTAACCACCATCTGGTGCAGAATAGCATCATCATTCCTCACCAATTCGGGTTCCGAAGGAGACATTCTACGGTAAAGCAGTTATATCGTGATGTGAAATTTATCAGCGAAGGGGTACAGAAAAGAAAGTTACAGGTTCTTTGATACAGCAAAGGTCTTCGACCGCGTATGGCTGGACGCCCTCATCTGTAAACTGCATAACTTGGGCTTTCTATGTTACATAACAAACATAATTAAATCCTACGTAACCGATAGATACTTTGTCGCTCGCGTCTCAACTACACTCTCTACACGGAGGGCAATCCTTGCTGGAGTACCCCACGGGAGTCTACTTGGACCTACTTATTTAATATCTATGTGAACGACAGTCCCACCACAGAGAACACAACACTCGCAATGTATGCTGATGACACTGCGATCCCCTCACAAAGTGCATTTGTTAGCCCAGTCACATTTGCAGAGAACGTTTATTAAATTTGTCAGCTGCATTCGGAGCGGATTATACTTTTAAATAATACTTACTTTATAGGCTAAAAAAAAACAACAATTTTTACTAATTTAAAATTTGATTTTTCACACTATTGCTTCGTTCATTTCCCAGTTCAGTGGCATAATCATATGTTGTGGCATTATCTTGTTTCATCAATACCCTGAAGAAATAATATGAGATATACAACTTTTATTTGTGTTGAACTATTTTTGTACATTCATTTCTCTTTTACTTTAATGTATCGAATTCTAAGTGATTCAGAAAAGTAAAAATACTCGCATAAAGTAAAATCTTGAATTATGAATACCTCTCACTGCGAACAAGTTCATTCACAAACAAATTATCCAAGTACAATGAAGGTGTCTCGAATTACAAGCCCTTAAATCGGTAAAAAACAACTTTTAAATCCATTTTAAGGCAGCTTTCTGACTCGTGTTAAAGAATTTGTGTCATAAACAAAAGTCATGAGTCTGACTCGTGATGAGGAATTTGTGCATTAAATGCCGCGTATTATTATTAGAACGAGCGATTGGAATTATTCTACATCTATTTTTCCTTTGATTGTAACGTCAGTATTTTTTTTTCAGTTGTTTCTGACGAAACTGGATGATCTGTTACTTCAGTTCCTCGCAAAGCTTCGTTACGTTTACACGTTTCAAATATAATTTCGTATAAAGAATTGAAAACCTCTTATACCTATCATGCCAAACTCTTATACCCATCATGCAATTATTTTGGGCAACTGATCAATTGATTATGATTACACCCTAGACGTCTTAAAATTACTATTCGTATCTAAACATTGTTTATTATTTCACAATTCCTCTTTCGTTGCACTGAAATATACAGGGTGATTATAATTAAAGTTTAAGTTTAAAAACGCTTAAAAAAAGAACCATGATGAAAATGATGTGAAATTTGAAAGGAATGTTATTGAAGAAGGCGGAAAGCGTATGGCAGAAAAATTTAGTTTTGAAAGTTAGCCAAGATGGCGCTGTACGCGGCCAATCACGACGAGAAATGATTCGTAAACAACGGCTAAGGTGGAAGTTACACATTAAAACGTATTGACAAATTAGAATTGTTGAATAATTTTATTTGCATGACTGTACATATCACATCGAAAGGGACAAATCGGTTTCATGAGTTTTGCGGCGACGTACCGCATAAGAACCATTCATCAAAGAAGTTCGGAACTGTCACGAGACTGGCGCAAAACATGTTCAATTTGGGTCCACCATGTGTGCAACAAGTTGAAAGCGACAAACAGCATGTTCCACAACGGATCGCAGTGTCTCTGGGGTGATGTTCAGAATGTGTTGTGAAATGCGTGCATTTAATTCCGCTAATTTGCAATTGGAGCACCGAAACAACATCCTTCAGATATCCCCACAGCGAAATCACACGGAGTAAGATCAGGCGATCGGGACGGCCAGGCTGTAGGGAAATGACGGCTGATAATTCGAGCATTTCCGAAATGGCACCACAGCAGCTGCTTCATGGGATGTGCAATGTACGGAGGAATGCCATCGTGTATAAAAATTATTTCATCGACACATCCACGCTGTTGCAGAGCTGGAAGACGATGTTGCGCAAAAGAGACCTCTCTGACCAGTGACGGTTGCGGTAACAGGATCGGAAGCACCCGTCTGCTTGAAAAAATATGGCTGTAGGACGAATGATGTCGTAAAGCCGCACCACACCATGACCTTTTCAGGATGAAGTGGTACGGGGTGGGTTGCCAGTGGATTTTCTATTGCCCATATTCAACAATTCTGGGTATTGACATGCCCTGTCAGATGGAAATGGACTTTATCTGTCCACAAAATTTTCCACGGCCATTCATTATCCACTTCTGAATTCTAACGCAAA